CGGAGGTACGTGCGCCTTTTTTATCTGTCAGTAAAGTTCCCCGTCAGGTGAGCCCTGCAGATTCCTCCGTGGCCCCCAGCACTGACTCAGCGGAGGAGTCACTTGCTGGCCCACTACGTTGTAGGTCTGCCCGCTGGTCAGCCCGCGTTTTGGGTATAGGTGCCTGCTATGCGTGATCCCCACTAGGCGATCCCATATGCTTATTCCGCCACGGTTAAGTCCCCCCCCTGGGCGGACCCGTGTCTTCCCTCTCCGCTAACCACTCTTTTGCTATGCGTACTCCCCCTTTTTAGGGCTAGTCCATATGTAATTCTGCCATCTATCCCCCCCTTGGGTAACGGATGGCCTCCGCAGCGTCCTCCCTATCGGGATTGCACGCTTCCCAACGTACTGTCGTATTTCCTAGAATTATCTAGATGCTCACGACTTCCCAAAAAATATATCTAAATCCGTAAAACTTCTGTTGAAGTAGGATAAATTAGGGCCAGGGACACGTTGGAGGACCGCGCCCCCCATGATGTGGGTGCGTCACGCTTGCTTGACTATCTCCTCATCGGGGGTGTTGGTAAGGTGCAGTCATTATGGCGCTTTCAATGGGCTCCCAATGCGTGGATTTTACAAATCAAATCCACTTATAGTGCTGAAGTTCCCCCCGAAGGGGAACGTTCGAGGTTACTAAAGTAACCCTTCGTTCCCCGAGGAGGGGAACGGAAGCACTATACTCCGTCGCCATAATGACTGTCCCTTAGCTGTTTGAAAGTCTCTTCAGCTTAAAAGGATGGCGTCTGCTGGCTTCAGGTGTGCTTATATGCTGAGATAATTGCAGATGTCGCACACCTGCGCAAGCTTACGCTGCCAATTAATTCATTCATTGGCCCGTTCAATACTCTCCAGACAAGCGGCTTCTGATCCGAATCCTCCCAATGCGTGGATTTTACAAATCAAATCCACTTATAGTGCTTCCGTTCCCCTCCTCGGGGAATGAAGGGTTACTTTAGTAACCTCGAACGTTCTCCAAAATATTTCCTATGATTTTCAATATGAACATGTGTGCTGAGTCCCGCATTTAAAACACGCTTTACGGTACCGCTCGACGCGGATCGCTTGATGTCAGTGTCTGCGCGGTCACGGTCGCGTGCATGAGAGCGGCCAAGAGCGTTCCCGAGTGAATATTCCCTAAATGGGGTGTCTGCAGACTTGGATCCAGGCCGTTTTACGATCCTAATGCGTCCAGTGGATGGGATGAAAGAGACATGGCCAAATAAAACATTTGAAGTCAACGCTCCCAGATTATTAAATGTCCTGTTCATAAATATATATTTTTAATTAGATTAGGCTAATAATGAACGCTAAGTTAATGTATGCAGAATTGATACACTCACCAAATAATTTCACATATACAAAAGCCCAATTGCAAATTAGTTTAGATTCATTTAATTAAAAAATAATAATAAAATAAAAACACAAATAGTTGAATAGTGTAACGGTTTATTGTAGCCTGGGGTCCGTTCTTCGTACGTGGATTACTCAGTTAGCTGGATTTGGATATTGACGATTTGACACGATCTAGCCTATATGTACATTAATAGATATAAAAATGTCCAATGTAAAAAGCAAAACAAGGTGTTTTGATTAGTTTTTAATAAATGAGATTATTTTGGATAATGAATGTATTTTCAAAAAAGCATTTTAATCCAAAAAGATTGTGTTGAAAAGAACAAAAGGTAAAATAAGTGAGCGATGTAGAAGTTTCCCAGAAAGAGCAGGTATCCTTTAAACTGCTAGACAAGAAATAAAATATATATTAATATTATATAATAAAACCATTTTATAATTACTTAATAAAATAGTTCTTTAACTTAATTTGTTAAGAGAGCTTTAGGGTGGCAGGATCAATGATGATGATTTTTTTATTTCAAGTCTGTAAGACTTATTTGAGTTCATATTTAGGTTATTTACTAAAATATACACTAAAATATATCATTTAAATCGTTCATGGAGATGAATGCAGTAAATAGTCTGCATAAAAAAGTAAAAAAATAAATTTGGGCAAACAAGCTAACCTTTATAACCAGATTATTTAACAAAAGATGAATTACTGCAGTAAAATATTTGTAGTCTTTTAATAAGCAAGATGTGTGCAAGATAAAGAGGGTGTAAAAAGTAAATTGTTTGTTTTGAAACTTTTGAATCGGAATTTGTCCAATTATAAACCCGAAATACACGTGTTTGTTGTCATGTGGTGAACTTGGCCAATCGTGTAATATCGGTGTCGTCATCAGAGCTCCTGCAGTCGCTCTTCAGAAGCTGCATGGTCTGAGTTTGCCGTCTGATCTCGGAGCGCTGTCGCGGTACTTTGATGCCACATGTGACAGTCACGTGGCGTCGGCGCAGCATCAATCAGGACAAGATTTCTAACCAGCATGCACCGCTTTAAGACAGATTTCGATCGATCTGCGCAGCGCTGCATGAAGTCGAACGCACCTTGTTTCTACCGGCAGGTGGGAGTGGCACTGTTGTCATATGGTTTTAAAAAACTCCGCTACTGCACTTCATTTATTCATTGTTTTATTTATTCATTGTTTTAAGGAGCTAAAGTTGATGAGGTAATATTTTTTTCTCTTTTGCGAAAGTGAATAGTTCCAACTACTGATGAAGCTTAATATTTGTTTCCACAGTATAAAATGTGTGTAGTTTTGTTGAAATAAAATAACTGTAATCGATCATATCAATGTAAATACATGCGAATTTATCAGTAAAATGTAAATTGTACTAGCTTTCTAGATATGAAGTAGATATCTAGACATAGTTATCGAGATATGATATGGGCAGTCACTTCTGTTTCTGTAATTAAATCACAGTGAATTAATGGATCTAGCTTATTATTTCATAGCTACATTCTACTGTAACATGCTATGTCAGTTAGCAGGGGATTATAAATCGACTTTCTTATTAAAATACCTAAGATGGCTGGAAGAACACATAGTTGAAGTCAGAATTATTAGCCCCCCCCCCCCCCTTACCCCTAATTTTTTTCCCCCTAATTTCTGTTTAACGGACATTTTTTTCAACACATTTCTAAACATAATGGTTTCAATAACTAATTTCTAATAACTGAATCATTTTATCTTTACCATTATAACTATAAATCATATTTGACTAGACATTTTTAAGACTATACATCTTAAAGTGACATTTACAGGCTTTAAATGCAGGGTAGGTAGGCAAGTTATTGAATAGTGATGGTTTGCTGTGTAGACTATCGGGGTAAAAAATGCTTGAAGGGCTAATCATTTTGACTTAAATTTTTTTTTTTTTTTAAATGCAAAATTGTTTTATTCTAGCTGAAATAAAACAAATGAGACTTTCTCTAGAAGAAAAAAATATTATCAGACATACTGTGGAAATTTCCTTGCTCTGTTAAACATCATTTGGGAAATATTTAAAAAAGAAAAGAAAATTCAAAGGGGGATAATAATTCTGTATAAAACATTCATTGTCGCAGTCGTGTAAATGATCAAAGTTTTGTCATGTTTTTTCAGATCTTATTTTTATTCAACTACAGCAATAGCTGATGCCTTCATCCATATTAGGGATTTCCTGGACTGTTCATCTTCTTTGTGAGGCATATATAATTTCTGCTCAGGTATGAATGAAACGGCCATTACATGTATTTAAAGTGCTACAATGCCCACATCAACCATTTTGAGGAAAACTGAAAAAAAAAATCCCTCTAAAGTAATTTGTAGTAAACATATTTTTAGCATATAGATCTTTATTGTAATTTTTTTGTACTATTTTTATAAAGTTGTTATTATATCAAAAAGAGTAGCCTATTGAATATCAATATTTTGCATGGTATTGAATTAAAATATTCCAGTATCTTGACAACAAACCTAAGGTAATCACTCTGTCCAACATGTTTGTTAGCTTTTTATCACATTGGATAACAACTCACTCTAGAAAATAAATCCTATTTTCAGTTTTGAAGACATGCATTACATTTTTTAAAAAAGTAACAAAAAAACTTAAGAGGTGTGATATGGCTTATAACAGACTAGTAAATGAGAAGTGGGTTAATTTATCAATGTTTTTTTCCTTTTTGGTGTTACAAGTCACAAAGCTTCACAATTGATTGTTAAACTGTCAACTCAAAAACCCTTTATTTCTTATTAAACCATTTATAATCCTATTATTAACATTACAGTAGATCACTTTATGTAAGTGAGGGTATATTAGTGAGGTGAATTAGAACGTCTTTTTTTGTGTGGTTAGGGGATACTTTTTAGGGGCTAAGCCCCTTATCCCTTTCGACGCTAGCAACACCCCTGTAGCAAATGTTTAGGCAAATTTATAAAATTATGTAATTGTCCTTTTCTTACATTATCAATTGCTTGTGTCATGTTGCTCAAAAAGTGTAATTATTTATTGAATAGTGTAACCCAGTAGTCACCAACCTTTTTAAGCCCAAGATTTCCTAGTTCAACCTTGATGATATGGAAGGTCTACCTAAAGATAAACAGGTAGAAGACAGCTTTTTCCTTGAGCCCTTTATTTCATTTTTCTGTATCAATATTCTTACACATTCTTCAGTCTGCATATTTGGAATACTTACTCCATCTCTTTTTTTTGCCTTTACCATTTTAACCTTAAGTGTGTGGAATATTTTAAGTCCTCATGTCTTATATTTGTTAAATACATTAAATTTTAATATGTCACCGTAGGGCTTTTATGAGTCAAATTAAATAATTTACACTGCAAATAATTTTGAGATTAATGTTTCAAATACATTTTATAATGTACTAAAAATGTTGGTAGAAATTTCATGTCACCAATATAACAATGTACTTTATCAGTATTACCTGATGTAAACTATGACAGTCATTGAACAAGACTGGACTATATGTATATTAATTATTTAAATTTTATCATCACAAATTGACTGTTTTTGAGTGCTTAAACACAAAATTAAATTTTTTAGTGTACACAAAAACAGCAGGTGCTATGAACAAAGTATTTTATTTACCACAATTACTACACAAAAAATGTTTTTACATGACAAAGAACACTAGAAACTAAAAAGAACAATATACAATGGGGTTGCAAAGAACTCTAGAAACTAAAAAGAACAATATAAAATAGGGTTGCAAAGAACACTGGACACAAAAAAAGAACAATATACAATGGGGTTGCCATTAACTGAACTACATTACCCCAAATGTGGGGGCCCGCAAAATGCCCTCTTTCATGTAAATTTCAAAGTCCTCAAACATTCGATGCATTGGCAGCCTCAAAACAATAGTACATGTATTTGCTTCAGGGTAAATTTTGGCATGCTCATTATCCTGTTGATGCAGGAACTCAAGTGCTGGTTCAACAGGGAAACCCAGCCTCTGAATGGAGGTTGAACCTGAAGCAAATGCCAAAACCTGGCTTAAAGAAAGTGGTGACGATGCTCCCTCTGAGAAAAAAAGATAAAAATAAAAAGATTATTCAGGTTTTCATTTAATTTTAAATATGGATATTCTTACAAAAAACCATAACCACTTCAGTAGGCATTTATTATGTAACAAATTTTGTTTATGATTGCTCTGATCATGATCAATTTTAATTTGTTTTTAGATTGGAACAGTCAGTACTTATGTGCAGTCATATGTGCTCATAAAACACTGTTTCTATAGCAATCTATGGACTTATAATGTCATGAACTAATAATGTATCACAAACATCAAAGAACTAAAGAAAAAAAGACAGAATCAATTTAATTTTATTTTTTATATATGTGATTATAACCACACCTATAACCATGTAATACATGAAGCTAGAATAAGTTTTTTTTTAGTGTAAAAGCAGAACATCTGGTGTCTATTTTGAAATATTTTTTGTGCAGATATTCGTGCAACAAAATATTGTGGGGGTCATGAAAATTAGATGAAAATCATTCAAAACACTGGTGGTGGCTGGCAACCTTTAAAAAAGACATTGGAGAGGAAAGAAAGCACATAACAATTGTATAATGTTACAGAGTGTAAACCATGTATAAGGCCGTACTCACACTATGTACAGTTGCCTTGAACCGGGCCAAAGCACGCTTGTCCCCCTCCCGTCTCCCCCGATGGCCCGCACTCACATTACATTCAAGCCTGGGCATGCTTACATCATCGATGCTGTGCTGCTTAGTAAGCACTTTCGCTCAGCACAGAGGTGATTTCTTCAGTTATATCGTTTTAGTCATTTGATATGCAGTGACACAGTCAAATATTTTGTAGAACAGATTAGCCACTTTTGATCGATGCTGTAAAGGGGACCACATAAAATGGAAAAAAAAAACTTACAATAAAAGGTCACTGGAAGTTTGTCAGTATAGGAACAACATTAGCTCGGCATATACCCTATTATGAGGTTTGCTAAAGGTGCAGCTGTCGTGCAGTGAGGGTCTTTAATAATCTACAACAGTTTGCCTTCACTGAATAGCAAGAATGATTAATAAATCCATATCAAACAGTGCCTTATAAGTCACGTCAGTTTCAGGCTTTCAGTTTCAGGCTTTGGCGCGTTTTGCACTCACACACAAGCACTGGCCCACCTCTTCCCGATTCAGCGCACTCACACTTCAAAAACGATCCGGGAAACGAGCCTGGGCACCGTTCGGATAGCATAGTGTGAGAAGACCCTAATATAACCTAGTGGTTTTCAACCCTGTTCTTGGGGACTCCTTATCTCAGAGTTTATCTGCAACCCTTATCAAACACACCTAAAGTGGCCAATTAAGCTCCCCAAGACAGCTTGAAAATTGTAGTCAGGTGCACTAAATCCGGTTGGAAATAAACTTTACAGGATACCAGGAACAAGGTTGAAGACCTCTGATATAACCAATTGTATATTTATTACCTTCCACATCTAGAAGCCAGTCCCTCCAGAAACAAACAATCCTGTTTTCTAGGGTCCTTTTGTTAGTGCCAACTGGTGACAGCTACGGGATGAAGAGCTCCGCTAAGTCTTTTGCTGTCAGTGGCTTCTCTTTAAACATCAAAATTTCTCAAAAGAGACTTGGATGTTTTTCCAAATGTTGCAGAAGATGCAAACATTCCAGACCTTCCCTGAATCTGAAAAAAAATAATAATAATTTAAGCATGAACAAGCTATGGTCTTTTCAGTTTAAGTGATTTTTTAAGTGTTAGACACAACTCTCTAGCAGTACTACATAAGGTAAGCATAAAAAAAACAAGGCCTTTTCCTTAGTAAGGGCTTATTTAAATTGATTGATGATTGTTATGTATTTTTTTTCTCAGTTTTGTTGATAAATGTGAAAATAATTCTGTTCTTGTCTGATGACAGACCAAGTGTCCATTTGAACTGGTTGGAATGGACCTTATTGGAAAGGTGGTGAAGTCTGACCAGAACAATCAGTACATATGTGTAATAGTTGATTATTGCACCAAATGAGCCCAGGCTTATCCTCTGAAATCAAAGTCAGCTGCAGAGGTTGTAGCGGTATTTGGCTAATAAAGTGGGTTGGGCGCCAGGGGTTGAAAGACCCCACTACAGTTTCTTAAATAATTCAATTAAATGAAAATTTAAGTTTCAACAGATGCATGATTTAATAAAACCAAATCAGATATTCAATCATACAACAGATCAATGAATTAATAAAGAAGAAAACGAAAAGAACAAACTTTAACTTCAACACATTGTAAGTAAATCCATAAACCAAACAAACTTAAATTTCCAGGCCCAGGCACAATACCTATTAATTACCTTTTACAAACAAAACCATCAACGGGTGATACATCAACCAACCATAAAGAAATAAATCAAATAAACCACTTCTAAACATACAACAACCAATATTAATCAAATTCCCACAAACATAATATTTCAAGTTCAAATCAAATCACACATTCAAGAACTTATAGAACTCAGTTGTACACTTTACACATAGTAGATATTCCATTTGTGCACGCTGAATCAATTGCACATTCAATGCACTTGAAATGTCTCTTTGTTCGTATACGCTAAAGTAGATTTTCCATTTGTGCACGCTGAAGTAATCGGGTAATTAATGCACTCTGAAATGTCTCTCAGTTCGTAAACGCTAAAGTAGATTTTCCATTTGTGCACGCTGAAGTAATCGGGTAATTAATGCACTCTGAAATGTCTCTCAGTTCGTATACGCTAAAGTAGATTTTCCATTTGTGCACGCTGAAGTAATCGGGTAATCAATGCACTTGAAATGTCTCTCAATTCGTATACGCTAAAGTAGATTTTCCATTTGTGCACGTTGAAGCAATCGTGAACGCAATGCACATTCATATGGTTACTCTACCATCTCATTAAATCTTTTGGACATACATACACATATACAAGTTAACCAAAACAATATAAATCAAAGAAGAAACATTTGCTTACCCGATCACCCGTCGATGCTACTGGGCCCAGAAAACTGCAACACAAATCCCGATCACGATAGTGATCAAACATTCAAACAAAAAGAAAGAAAAAACCCAAAACAAAGGCAACTCGAGCGCCAAAAAAAACAAAAATAAACCCGCGCCTCACTCCACAAACAAACCCGAGCGCATAATACGTTCACCATGCATCGCAAATACAACCTCCGCCAAAAATCATAAACACTTCCATTCATAAATGTTGCCGCTTCAACGTCCGCATCAATAACATACTCGCATTTCGATGCCGTGGCTAACTTTAAAGAACACTGCCACTACCTCAGAGCAAGACCACGCAGCATGAAAACACATATTGAGCTACAAAAACGGACTCGAAGCAACAAGTACGCAGCGCGCTCTCTACACACACACACACTCAGTCAGCATGACCTCTCAGTGACCCGGAATCACCTGCATGCTGACTGCGTGACAAGGAATAATTGAGAGAGAGCGAGAAACCCATCCAAGGCGCTCTAAATAACGTTGCATCAGCTGACAGCAGTAACCCAATCAGACGTCACTCATATAATAAGGAAAATTCTAATGACGATCGTCACAAGGTTACAAATTGTATTCTCAAATTTGTATACCAGTACGAAGTGCCAAAACGGATACTAACTGATCAGGGGAGAGAATTTACCAATACTGTGAGTATTTTTGTCAGCTCAGTTATGAACTGCATGATGCTCTGCTTTAAAAGTTTTAAGTTATAACTATTAAAATATAAAATATTATTGTCATATCATTATGTAGATCAATACTAAGGTCTGTGGAGTTCTTGGAATTAAAAGAAGCCTCTGTGCCCCATACCACCCTCAGACCAACGGGTTGGTGGAGAGGCTCAATGGCACCATACAACGGTGAATAATGCATCTACTTTAGTACACATTTACACTAATAAACCACAGCTAAAAACTCACTGACAGGTACAATGAACATTGTTGGCTATAAAGTACACTGTAAAAAAGTTCTCAACTTAAAATTGTAAGGCACCAAACTGCAGGACATTTTTGAGTTTACTCAACTTAAATTGAGTCAAGTGCATTAAGTGGGTTCAAGTCAAGTCAACTCAAAAATGTTACATGTTAAAAAAGTTTTTTGCCTTAAGATTTTAGGTTGAGTCAACTTTTTTTACAGTGTAGTTTCAGGGTAAATATACAGTGATTAAATTACTTATTGTCTGGAAAAAAATAGTTACTGTTCAATTTAGGTATACTTTAATATTTGTTGCTTCTCTTAAATCTTTTCAAGTCTTTAAATGACACTGTTTTAGCTAAACACTATCATCTTGCAAATAACTAGTAAAATATTATGTACTGTTATCATAGCAAAGACAAAAAAATAATTACTCATCATTAGTTATTACAACTATTGTGTTTAAAACTATGTTAAGTGGAACTTATTTATAAAAATTTGACAGAATTTTGCATTTCTTTAAAAAGAGTTACAATGTCACAGGAGGGCTAATACCTTTGACTTCAACTGTATATTTGTACAGCCTTCTCTTTATTTTATCACATGTTTTTTAGGGTCCTATCTAAACTGGTACAGGACAAACCAAATACTTGGGACCAGTATTTGGATGCTGCCATGTTCGGACTTCGAACAAAGAAGCAGCTGACCACCCAATTCTCTCCATTTTACTTGATGTTTGGAAGAGAGGCACGCTATCCATGTGAAGTCCCTGAACATTTTGAGGTATTTTGTTGTAAATATTCTGGATTCTTTTTATGTCATTGCTATGGTAAGCTAAGTTATTTATTACCATTTTCCACAGCTTGATGGTTCATTTGAAAATGACTTCACTGAAGACATTGCCATTGACATCAAACGACATGACAAAATCATGAACATTGTTAAAGATAATGTAAATATATCTATCGCAAGGACAAGAAAAAGGCTGTCAAAGAAGGCACAATTTAACCTTCAGGTGGGAGCAAAAGTGTGGAGAAGAAATGTCCGGAGTGAGCAGAGGAAAGGGGGGAAACTAGACCCTGAGTATTTTGGTCCCTTTGTGGTGACCAAAATACAAGGGAAGAGTGTTGATCTTGTGGATTCGGAGGGTCGATCCACAAAAAAGATTAACAAAGACCAATTGAAGCACCACCACGAGGAGACACCAAGAGTACCTCGAAATCTGAGGAGTCAACATCAGCAACCCTCTGAGCCAACGAGTGCAACCTCCTCTTCTTCTCCTCCTCCAGCTGCTCTCTCTCCTATATCTTCTCCTCCTCCCCCAGCTGCTCTCTCTCCTCCAGCTGTTCTCTCTCCTCTACCTTCTCCTCCTCCTCCAGCTGCACTCTCTGCTCCAGTTTCTCTTTCAGCTGCTCTCTCTCCTCCATCTGCTCAGTCTTCTCCTCTAGCTGCTCTCTCTTCTCCAGCTGCTCTCTCTACTCCAGCTTCTCCTCTAGCTGCTCTCTCTCCTCCATCTGCTCAGTCTTCTCCTCTAGCTGCTCTCTCTCCTCCATCTGCTCAGTATTCTCCTCTAGCTGCTCTCTCTCCTCCATTTTTCTCTCCAGCTGCTCTTTCTCCTCCAGCTGTTCCCTCTCCTCCAGCTTCTCTTCCAGTTGTTCTCTCTGCTCCAGCTTCTCAATCTTGTCCTCCTACTGCTGTCGCTCCTTCACCTGCTCAATATTCTCCTCCAGCTGCTCTCTGTTCTCCAGCTGCTCTTTCTGGTCCATCTTTTCCATCTTCTCCTCCAGTAGCTTCCTCTCCTCTGGCTGCTCTCTCTCCTCCATCTTCATCTCCTTTTGCCACTTTCTCACCTCTTCTTTCAGCTGCTCATAACTCTACTTGCCTTCCATCATCTTATGATGCATCCACTTTTAAAGAAAAATGTATGTAACTTTTAATTTCTTTTTAAACAAAATAATCTGTTTCTATTCAAATATAGTTATAAATATGTAAATATATGTACATTTGTATACTATGGTGAAACTATTTCAATTACTTTTTCTAACACAAAGGCATAGAAGAGGCCACACGTCCTGCTGTCCCGAATGGGGACCTACAAGCTGTTTTATTGGGACATTGCAAAAACAGCTCCCAGTGAACAGCTTGAAAGTGAGGTGAGCTGAATAAACAAAATATTTGTCTAATTGTATTGTATATAATTTGTATGCAAGTTAAATCTGCTATCCTTAACTGGTTTACCTTCATATACTAACTTGTTTTCTGGCAAACAGGTCATGAATGCATACCTTGCTCACAAAGTAAAACTAAACAATGAAACAAGGGCCAAAAAGCCAATTAATATTGATTTATTTGAGATGACAAGGATATGGGAGGGAAAAAATTCAAGACTGAAGGTAGGCACAGGGTTTGGTGGGGGTTGCTTTTTTAGGTGGATTGTCACTAAATAGGTTTTATTCACTATTTTTGTATATAAATGTTATCTGTATTAATGTGACTCAACAAAGTATGTGGTAATTTTGGGAGCTGTTCATGAACCTGGTCACTGGATTTTGGTGGTAAGTAAAAATTACTCACAATAGCTGTGAAACATGATGATGATAATATAATCTAAAATAATATAAAAATACATCATAATACAACAATCTACAGGCCATCTTTCCGGACCAGAAAAAGAGCCTTGTGCTTGATCCCCTGGGAACTGAAGCCAGCAAGATTAAACAGTGCTTGGAGTCCACAAGGTGACTGTTGTTTATAAAAAAAAATCTATTTTAATACAAACTGAATTATGCAATTGCCATAATTTTACATTTGCCTGCCTTTTTAGGGCATTTATGAGAAAAAGAGGAGTAATTTCTTCCAGGTGGACAGCCGACACAGCTCCACACAGTCACCAAAAAGAGTGCAGTTCATGTGGAGTATTTGTGCTTAAAAAAAAGTTTGTTTTTGTCTCTCATTGGCTAAACTGCTGTCTACTGTTTAGTATTTGTTAAAGCAAAATATTTTACATGTGTCAAGTATGTAAAAATACTCATTTGGATTACACATTATTCGTGTATTTATGTACAACAGCATATACTGACTAATCCATTATAATTCTGTGTCATATTAGTATGCAGAAAAAATCCTGGCTGGGGAGTCTTTGATGTTCGCCAACAAGGCCTCAGCGGTGAAGATTTATAGAAAAGAAATTGCCAGGACACTGCTGAATGGGCGTGGTAAAGTTGTTGAATTATATACTTTTGTTTAAATATTTGTCTTATAGAATGGTCTGTCTAAAAACACAATTTGGATTGACATAGGAAGGTGTCTGTTTAGAATGTCTGTTGTCAAAATAAAAAATGCATATAATAAAGGAAATAGAAGCACAAAAAAAGATATCATAAAAATCTTGGAAAAAAAAAAAAAACATTCACAAGGCTAATAACTAAACAGAAATAGGTCTATAAATAGACTTAAGGTAATTAATAAGACAGGTGATTATTTTAGAAAATAAATATAAATGAAATGTCCATACTGTAGGTGTCAGATCATAATACACATTTTATACACACACACACACACACACACACACACACACACACACACACACACTCACACAACCCTATTATCCATTAATACTGAAAATAAAATATATAATTATTTTAGGTTTTATCTTTGAATGGAAACTAAACAGCTGACTTTCATTTAACTTGATTTATTTTATTACTGTATTTTATGTTTTGTTGTTGTTTTCTGTTTCATATGTATATTTTCACATGAATTGTGTATATTTAAATAGATTTTCCTTGCATGTGTACTGTTTCGAACTTTAGGACAATATATTTTCCTGCATCTGTGTGGTGAAATATAAAAGTACTCAAAGTCAGAAGAAAGACTATATATTTTTAAATGCACCGAAACATGTGCCTAGATCAGGGGTCCGTTCTTCGTACCTCGCTTGAATGATCTAAGATTATTTGGCAGATCCCGGATCTTTTAATCTTGATAACTGATCTCTCGCTAATTTGGTTCTTCAAACGAGTTCGCGAATCAGATTAGAATGTCTGGATAAACTGATCTGAGATCGCTGCGTGTGTTATGAAGGACAGATCTATCGATCCTCGAAATCATGATCAGCAATGAACGATAGGCTGACGGCACAACAGCGTAATGACATCATCTGATTAATATTCAATTATCCATGTGAGCAAAATTACATCAAATTAGCAGTAAACGGCTTGTTAAATATGACACGCAATAACTTTCCACATTTGTTGTGAGCTGCAGGCTTTATGTGTCAAGTGTATTCATCAATGCAAATCAATGTATTTAGTTCCACATTTAGAAAATATTTTCTTTATTATAGTAGCCGTTTTTTAATCGGTGTAAAGAATAACTGGTTGTTTACAAAAGCGTTTTCATATTGGTAAAGGCGTCAGCAACTTTTGTGAAGCATCAAATCACTGGCATATTAACTATCAAAACATGTTTATGACTGCATAAATGTATTATTGCTTTAAAAAAGTCACATATTGTGCATTTCTATTGTACACAATTTGTACTAAAGCGATCTAAAAAGTTCATATCAATAAGTTTTCTTTTTGCACCACCAGGTGGCAGTCTTTGTACTTCTATATCGAGGGTGCAGATTGCATACGTTTTATTAATATGTATAACTTAATTTATTTTATTAATGACTATAACTTTATATATATAGTTAAAAAATATGTACCATTTTCCCAAGTGTATATAACTACTACTGTAAGAAAATATCGTAATTCGGAACATACTTTCTGTATTATCTTTGCTTGAACTAAGCCGATCTAATCCTGTTTATATGAATTAAACCTGCTCCCGATCAGGTTTGACCTAGCAGAACTGTTGCTATGACAACATCTCTCGGATCAGCTTTGAAGAACGAAACGATCCTGGATCGTGTCAAATTGTCAATATCCAAATCCAGTTAACTGAGTAATCCACGTACGAAGAACGGACCCCAGTTGTAGTAACTGTTTTAAAGTTGTTGCTGCTCCTATTGGGCCATTAACACCTGGGGATGGGCAGATTGTGCTGCTGTTGGATGCTGTCTCCAGATAGGCTGTTGATCTGCTGCCAGCTCAGGTTAAAGAGGCCCATCTCATCTCAGTAAAGTTACAGTTGTATCATTTTCAACTACAGCTTGCTGCATTTGACCAGTGGACAGAACTCACATTTCAACGTCAGAAATGGCTTCCAAACAGTAAGTAGATTTAGTCAGTATGCCTTATGCAGCAGGCTTCTTAAACTCAGTTTAGCTTGTATCATTTTATCAGTGGAGTTAGATTGTGGAAGTCAAATCTTTAAAAATCTAAGAGTCTTCTAGAACTTAGTACTTCTAGATAAATAAATAAAAAACTTTTAAATTTAGAAGTTTAGAAAACCTCTGAAGAGGACAGATATTTGTGAGAGGAGAGCAGTTTGTACACTAGTTGTGTTGTTATTTTATATTTGACTTGTAAATCCTAGCTGCTGGTATAATCTTGTTTAAGAAATAATTGAGACAATTTAATTCTTCTCCCATAATAAATGTCATATTATTAAATACGTTTTAAATAATATGGTTAGTAACAGTATTATATTAATATGAAATTAAGTTTTGTCTTAAAACTCTAATCAAAATATCCAGCACACTTTGCCGTGTGTGTTTGTGTGCTCATTCCTTTGTTTCTTTACCTGGAGTGGGGGTGGGGTGTGGTGGACCCCAAACCTTCACAAAGCTGCTCTCGGTGTCTTCATTCTGTAACATGTTGATTTTATTATCCACACAGATCCTTCCACAGCAGGATGTTTTTCCTCTGTCCTGTGTGCAAAAAGGCTCCTCACTCTCTTCCTGGGCATCTCAGGAAGGTGTGTATGAGGAACAGCACAGAAGCAGAGATCCAGGCTGTCGTCAAAGAGACCAAGAAGGAGTTGTCTGAATTCTGTCACAGAGGACGTTTCTGGGAGTTTGGAAGAATTTGTGACATATTGGACTCTACTAATCCTCTGGCCAGGTTTGTATTCAGTTGTGCTTATCTTATTTGATGTATCTGACTTCAAATCTAACATCTGCATATAATAATAAATATACATTTTTTGTATTGTTTATTTGACCTTATTTTATGTTCCTTGTTTTAGGATGATTGCGGAGATGCAGTCAAAGGGGTTGGTGATTAATAACTTACCTTCAGTCCTCCCAGAACCAGCTCGGTCGACAACATCTTCTGTGCCTCAAAGCTCTGGAGAAGGTGCAGAAAGTTCATTGGAGCCTCCGAGAGCTCTGAAGAGTATTATCAGAGGTATACTTTTATATCAGCATTCCCAGAAAGTAAATATACACTGTGGATATGACTTCTCTTTAATATACAAAGTCGTTTTGATCACCTGCTTTTATATTTCAGCACAGGTGGACTGATGTGGACCTCTTCCGTGAGGGTGGAGATGGTCAAAAAAGGCTTATACAATAAGCACTCCATTGACCACCCCCTTCTAGCAGGATTTAATAAGTACCTTTACACTGATCTAGGATATAAAAACAGCAAACAAGTAGTAAGTTCAAGTGAAATTATATATGTAAAAATGAGTGAATGGGTGTTGTTTTATGCAGTACAGTTTATTTTAATGTGAAATGTGTCCTTTCAGGTGGAAACAGTGTCCAGGTTCTTGCATTACATGGACCCCACTGAGCCAAACTTGATGTTTGTTCGGCGGGTGGAAAAAGTGCGAGAGTACTTTAACATCTTGTCAGATACAAATCTCTCAAAATGGACAGTGTTCAACTACTCGAAGAGTCTCAAGAGGTCAGTAATGTGGAACCACCACAAGCGTGCCATGTACATGTTAACTAATCATGTCATCTGTGCTGTGTTCTGACTGTAACAAACCCAATGTTGATCTCTTTTCAAGGTTCATGAAATACATTATTACCTCCACGGACATTCGCCACAACAATCCATCTCTGTTCCAGGACTGTGGGAGTTTTATGGATACGCTGTATGGAATACAGAGTGGCAAGTCCAAAGAAGTGAGCATGGAGGTCACAGCAAAAAAATCAGAGTTTGGTTGTGGCAAAGAAGTTTTGCCAAAGGACTGCCTTGCTGTTTTGGAGGCTGCATTCAAAGATTTCCAGGCCGTGATATGCTAAATGCAGGGTCCAGGAGCCATCACAGGGGACTGTTTGACTAAAAATGAACGGCTGCTCGTCCTGTACTACCTGGAGGCTGTTATCATGCTGAAGCTAGTCCAGCGGCCTGGAATTGTGACACACATGACTGTAAGTGTTTGTTTTTCCGTACATTGTCTTCTTTGTTCTTATATGCTTCATCAATGTGCAAAACTGTCTGTTTGCAGGTTGAGGATTGGGAGGGGAGAAGCCGGATAGAGAATGGTGTCTGTGTTGCAGTGAAGGAGCACAAAGTACCATTGTCACACGAACAGGAACTTGAAAGTTTAGATTGTCTTTTATATAATAACAGCAATAAATGTATTGTGTCAAATTTAGACTTATTTTTTTCCTTTCTCTAACTAGTGGTTCGACTTGTACTTCAATGAGGTGCGGCCAGTAATGCTGCAAGAAAACCGCACCGGCGATGATGTGGCAGTTGATTCATTTTTTGTGTCAAGTAGTGGGAGATCAATTTATAATCCCTCCAACGACTTAAAAAGACTACATGACAAGTGAGCAACATTACACCTGTCTTTAACTCTACATGTTCATACGTCTACTTTTTTGCCTTCTTACGATGCCTTGTGTTTCAGATACAGTCTTCCCAGTGTGATGTGTGGCGATGCCCAGAGAGCATTTGAGGCAGCAGCACAAAACCTGTCAGAAGAGGAGAGAAATGTGGTGGCAGCTGAAAGAATCTACATGAGGAGAACATCTTCAGATCCGTTTCTGGCTCTAAGTGTGCTAGATCAGCTCGCTGGGAAAACACCGTAAGCATCTAACAACTGGGATGATCCTTATTTTTAAATTTGCAACCCACAGCCTTGCCTTTCCTTCCTTCAATATTTATTTTTTTGTGATCTTATAGACAAAGGTCCAGTAGAGCTTCCAGCTGTGAGACAAGGGTGGACGAACAGACGGCCTACAAAACTCTTGAGCAGTTCTGTCCAGTGACTCTGGAGGGGCCTCCTCCAAAAAGGGCACGCAGGACTGAGCTGTGTGGCTCAGAACATGAGAGGCACTGCTATGACCGCTGGCGTAGCGAGCAGCTCAAGCTGCGTGAACAGCACGCTCTCGGTGAGTATACAGATGATTAATGACACAAACAGGGGAATTGAGTGAGAATAGCCGAATACTGATGTGTTTTGTGTTTCTAGAACACTTTGCTGGACAGCAGCCATCAGAGTCCAAAATAAGCCGCTGGATGGACAAACAAGGGTGGACATCAAACGTCCCACAGGCTGCAGTGGTTCTGAAGCAGTGGAAACCTGTTGCCAGCTTGGACTTGGACATCGACAGCAGCTTTGTGAAAAAAATGATTTTGTCTCAACGCTGGAAAGGACTGACTGTCAGGCCCGTCCCTGACAAGGGCGATGGTGTTTTCACCAAAAGACCCTTTCAGATCGGGGAGATTGTCTGTGAATACCACGGCGAGCTGGTTAGCCATGAAGATGGGATGGCAATTGCTTCAACAAGCGGCATCAGAGCTGGCCATTTGTTTTTTTATAAGAACAAGCAACATGAAGCCATGTGCATTGACGCACATGAAGAAAGTTGCCAGTGCCATCCCATGAAGTTCAATTATGGACGCCTGATTCGTCACTCCAGCAAAAGAGCCAATATCCGGCCCAGGCTGTATGTCCTTAATGATAGAGACATCATTCTCTTCATTGCTACAAAAGACATTTTGAGTGATGAGGAGTTATTCTATGATTATGGCTCAAAGAGGAGATCTTTTGCCGGGAAAGGGCTGGAATTGGACTGGATGTAAAACAACATCTTTCCATCCCCCACACTCACTCACTTCTAACATGTCCAACTCCAAGTTTCCACCTGTGGCCATATTCTCTCCTCTCTCTCTGGACAACCATCACTGCTCTTCTCACCCTGGAGTACTCTTTCTGCGCTGCCAAGCAACAACACTGCTCTCCAAATAGAGACTTGGTTGTAATAGGTTGAATGAGTGGGCCTTACAAACCATTCACCTTTACTTTCAGAGAATTGTATTTTCTCTTGTCTTTTGCTCTTTTACCTCATAAGTTTTCTTTTTGCAACTGTGAGAGTGTGAGTAGGCTACTCCATAATCTCTCCTCTCTCTCTGGATTCTGTACGACACATGTGGAATTACAGCCTGGTAAGTATGCTCAAACTGCTCTTAACCCTCCCTTCCATCCATCTTTAAGTTTCAACCAAATTATTGTGCACTTTCTGGTTGTCGTCTTCTTTTTGTTACAGATTACCAAGGCTTTTAAGGTCAGCAGACATGCACCTCAATGCTGAGAATTAACCTGGCATGTTAATTCTTCATTACCCATGTTTCTTTATGTTGTTTGATTAATGTTCAGATTTTGTTCATTTGTTTGCACTTGTATGTACTGGAAGTTGTTTATTTTCTTTAGTGTTGTTATTACCTGATATTACTATTATATATGTTCTACTGTGCTGTTATTTCACATTCTTATTAAAATGTTGCAGAAAGTACCCAGTGTCACAAAGTTCAGTTTCAGTGGATTCATATGCTTTTTAAACTAAATAAAAGTGTAAACACAGTCACAATGTTGGGATATAATTAACAATCATTTAAATAATTTATACCTTTTAAAAACATGCAATCCTTAAAAACACAAAATACACTTCATTATTTGAAACATTTGAAGCTTTTTAAGAAAAGTACAACACTGTTTCCCCTTCACCTGAAAAGTGATGTGATAGTTTAAATCAATAACAAAATAAAAATGACAGGGAAAAACAACTTAATGATCAAATTACAATTTTTTCCCTCAGAAGGAAATCAGCGAGGACAAGAAAGAAGGAATCCACAAATATCCACAATATCCTGGAAAAAACACTGAAATAATGGTCTCTGTATGAGAGCTGCTCTTTAAAGAGAATAAGGCAATTAGCCTAATTAAAAAAGATAGTTACAGTCAAATACAATAATAATTCATTTTAGCAAAAGACAAAAAAGACAATCTGTTTTAGACAAAACTCATTGTAAAATGTCAGACATTATTTATAAAGACAGACAGACCAATAGAATTATTTTTAGAGTGAATCAACATGAATGGCAGCTGTTTTTGATCTAACAGCAGCAAAACTACATGCTGAACGCTGTGAGCTTGTGTGTGGATGATGATGATGATACATGACTTTTTTTTCAAAACAGTTTAGAACAAAACAAACAGCAATAAAAAAAGCAAGCAAACAGACATTTTTTTAAAGGAACATGAAAGCAAAATAGACATACAAGTGTCAAAGGTCACAGAATACAATCTTATTTACATTTGTATTTATCGTTGATAAAATGTTGCTATGTAAAATTTTGTTAAGGGTTACGTGTCAAAGATCAACAGGCTCCAAACATGTAAACAATAAAAGCAGCACAATGAAATTTAAACAAGACTTTCTTCTCAACCATTTACCCCAGTATGCAGAAATGTTATAGGCTTGTTGTCTCAAGTTAAATGTCAGTACTTCCACGTCATACACCTCTTTAACAATATCATACCATTCGCCTACAGATGGAGGATCTTCCTTGAGCTATTTCTTTGTAATGGCCTTTTTGCTAGTTGTTAGTAGTGTGTTAAGAAGATACACATAATTTTTGGTATTTCTGCAGAGTAAATTCCCAGGTACATAGTTTTAAAATTAAATTAATCCCATAATTAGATTTATCTCTATTTAAATCTTGTGTATAATATTACAGTTCCAAAATATTTTGAAATGATCTGCCAATACATTTTCACATTTTCTCCATCCTTCACCATATTTTGATCTCTAGTTTAAAAGTATTTTATTTTAGATGTCATAAAGAACCTGATTACATTTTCCTAATAAATACCCTCTATGAATTAATTGTGATCATCTGTGTTTCCCAAATAGTTAACTATTCCTCATTTGCTATTATTATATTGGCTTCTCCTTCCCATTTCTGTCTGATACACATTGTTGAGTGTTTCTATGTTAATGTCAGACAGGAATACATTCTTGATACTAGTTGTTTTATTAATCTTTTTTTTTTCTGTAAGCATCTATAAATACCTGCACTCCTGTAGTTTTTATGTCTTCTGAATCTCTTATGCTTTTATTGAAGTAGTGTCTAACTTGAAGGTAATGGAAAAAGTCTTGTTTATCAAAGTTATGATATATATATATATATATATATATATATATATATATATATATATATATATATATATATATATATATATATATATATTTGAAAATTGTTGAAAACCTTCCAATTCAGAAAAGGTAGGCTTGGTAATATATTCATCCTTATTATCTATTCAATTGTATAGATCTAAAGGTTGAAGGAGCCGTCTGTTCAAAAACTTTTTCATGGTTTCTGTAATGGGGAATTATTTTATTTTATAGATATCTTATAGGTATGCAGCGATTTAAACTCCAACATATCTGATATGTTGTTATATCAGATGTAAGTTATTACTCATGTAAGGTATGATTACAGCATTCAAAAAGCATTTACATCAATTGTTCTTTGAATATTTTATACCATTCTGCAGAGAAGCCATCTATGTCTGACATATCATTTTAGTTTTGTAATCTTTGATTTTAAATATCCTCCTCTCTGCCTGTCGTTTCTTTATTCTTCATGCCAGGAGCTTTTTGGACCATTTTCATAAAATTTTAAAATGTAAGTTTTATTTGTACTTGCTCATCAAACATTTTATTGAGTTTTGCTTTAACTTCTTTAACCCTAACCCTATTGTTAAAATATCTGGATCTTTCTTATTACCATATTTAGTCTCTAATTCTTCAAGTTGTATATTTAGATTATTTATGTAATTCAGTTTTTTTTTTCCCTTGATCCCCACATTATAAGTTTACCTCGCGTAACAGCTTTAGCTGCGTCCCATATGATACTAGGTGACACCTCTGCATTATCATTATGTTTTAAATATTCTTATAGTTCTTTTTTTAACATATTCTACACATGTTAAATCATTCAAATGATAAGGGTTAAATCGCCAAAATGTCTTTTTGGGTTTAATGTCCAGGTAAACTGTTAAATATACTCCTGCATACTCTGAGATGTCCCTTGTTCCTATTTTACAGTCTTTTATTTTTATGTTGATCTGAGCTAAAAAAAAATAAATAAATAAATAAATAAATCAATTCCAGAATGAGACATGTGGAAGAAAAGAAAGTATATTCCTTTTTAAGAGGGTATATGTCTCTCCATACATCTATCAAGCCTAATTATTTTATCAAAAATCTTATTTGTCTAGTTTCTTGACTAATTTGCTTATTAGAAGAAGAGTCCAATTTAGGATGAAGTTGTACATTCCAGTCTCCCCCACAGATCAACATTCCTGATGCCTTCTTGGCTATAACACTTACTATTTTTTTGAGAAATGCTTTGTCTTTTTCAGGTGGTCTATATATACTAACTAATGTAACTTTGTTTTGGTTGATAGTTCCTTTAATTAAGTTATATCGCCCTTCTTTATCAGTAATCTTAGAAATTAATTGGAAGTTGATTTTATTTGAGATCAATGTCATTACTCCTCGTTTACGACCATTATTATATGAGGAAAAGAAAACCCTATTGTTCTAATTTCCTATGTTCTGTATCAGAAAGATGCGTCTCTTGCCAGAAGATTATCTGTTGGTTTTCTCTTTTAATTTTAAGTTTGCTTCTTTTAATCGGATTTAGTAACCCATTAATATTCAAAGTAATTACTCTATATTTCTGTTTTTGCATATACTATAATCAGATATTATTGCGAAGATCACTGATCGGAACACGAAAAACACAAACGTGAATATCTTGAACCACATAAAAATTATTACGAAAAAGATCTCCAAACCTTGAAGTCTTAAATAACTTCTTAATGTGAGAGGAAAGCCTTCCTTTTCTAAAAAGCCCTTTCTTGCTGTGCCTATTGCACTCCATGTTATTTAAATATGGTTTAGGTTATCATATATGATGTAAAAAGAAGGATTAATACCAGTGTGTATGGGAGCTCTCTTTCTATGCTGCTACATGTGTCAACACCATACTGGAAACCATCCCATGTGTTTCTCAAGCTGCCCCGAATGAGTGAAACTCTGTACACACTAGGGTTGGGAATCGTTTTTTTTTTTTCGATACCGGTGCTAAATCGATACTTTTAAAACAATACCGGTGCCAAAACGGTGCCTGAATCGATACTTTTTTTTAGCCACAAAATGATGGTGGATGACTCTTCAAAAAAATTTTATTTGACAAATTTTTCTTTTTTTTAAATAATTTTAATAGAACAACATAATTACAGTTTAATGTAAACATCAATTCATATTGTATTACATTAATACATTTCCTTTGATCATTTGTTGGTTAGCATGAATTTAAGATTTGCATTATGAAATTACATTAGCTTCCTTTTAACCTGTGGGGGGCTGGCAGGGGCCACGTAATTTTAGGAGCACATTTTAACAAATATATCACAAAATACTTAAAACATTATTCAAAGTCATTTGTTTTCATGCATCACTCTGCAGTCTTCATAAACAAGATAATTAAATAACTTAAACTCAAAATAATCTTCCTTGTTCATTTATTTGACAAGTAACGTTGGTGTAGGATAACACATTTCTAACATTCAAGTACATCAAGGCACATTGTTGCACCTATAAACTTCAACAGGCCTACAGTTGAAGTCGATTCATTTTGCCCTCCTATTCATTTAAAATAATGTTTCTGAAAACTTTGACAGTGTTTCCTAAAACATAATTATTCTGGAGTCATAATAAGTCCTATTTCTTATTGTTTATTTCATGAATAAAAGCCGTTTTTAATTAAAAAAAATAATAATAAGGTCAGTATTATTAGCCTCCTTAAGAAATATTTACTGTATATTTTTGATTTACACAACAAATCAGTTACAAAATAATTTGACGAATTATTTTAACTTTCGTAGTGAACTGATTAAAGGGGTGGTCCAGAATGTATTTTTAAGGCTTGGTTGTGTTAATAAGATGCAAAGCAATGTGTGCTCATGTTTAACTTGAAGGAAATCATGTTATTTTTTCATATATCTCACTTTGATTATACACAGCTACTCAGCTAACATGAAAACGACTGTCATATTGCCTAGTTCCTCTAAAAGGCCCACCCTCAAGTGACTCTGATTGGTCATCATCATAATGTGCTGTGATTCGCCGATCGGCTCCACATCACGCCCGGAGAAGCACGCGCGTTGTGTGTAAACAGTCAGTCAGTTAACACGTGTCTGTAACGAGTGAAAATGGGATGCGGCTCCTTTAAAAGTGTTTCTGTGCCATTTAGTGTGTTTATGTGTGTGCGTGTATATACTATGAAGTGTCTGTAACATGAGATGTGCATGTGCGCAAGATATTTATTGTTCTTTTTCTCTCATGCTCGGATTAAGTTATTTTCTGTGGTGACAGATTAAATCACAAGATGTGAGATGAGACCCGTGTGAGCCTGGATTGATTTGTTTTTGCTGTTACACTCCAGTTGGGAGAGCATTGCTGCATTTTTTTTTTTTTTTAATCAATGCGTTACAGGATGTCTTTCACGCATATCCGGAATATGCCTGTGTAAGTAACATGATTCGTTCACATATCTTTTGCGACTTTATTGTCTTGAGTTGAACGCATGGAAAAGCTGCCTGAAGACAATCAGTGCAGTCGTGCACACACATAAGAGACACACTGCCATCTCACACAGAGAGACGCAGGTGCTGGCCAAGAGTGCGTGTATGTATGTTTGTGTATGTGTGTGTGTTTACAGCCGTTTGACTGATAAGTATGGATTTGTAGCTAAGTCGTTAGCGATGAACATAATTTCCCGTTGTTTACATCTTTGCTACAACACACCGTTAAGGCTAGACGCTGTACATGTCATGATCAATTTTAACAAATAAAAACACTTACAGATCATGACTCAGTTCACAGCGTGTCCTTGCTCCATCTTTGAGGAGATTTTAGCCGAATCCAGCACTGAACTGGGAGAGATTCTGGAAGCTGCGTTTTGTCAAATCATGCTTGCTATGTATTTTATAGTTCTCTGGAACATAATTAATATTGAACTGTAAGCACTTCTGTGCTTGTGTTGTGTCATTTGGAAGCCCAACAACAGAAACAGAACAGCTCTGTGGAAACAGCAGGATGGCATTTCTCCCTCTGCAGTATAGTTACAGCGCCTCTGGCAACGGCCTTTACCTGCGCAGTGTGGGATGCGCAATAACAAACTTTTGAGATCTCACAGGGGGCGGAAGTATTTTTTGTAGTCCCCAAAATTCGTTCATTGTAGGCTTTGCTAAGCTAACTCTAAAAATCAAGGTCTCCCTTTGCATTAAACTTTGAGCATTTTACATTCAGAGATGCTGTTTATGTTCACACAGCTACATTACACATCAACTAAAGTTTAAAATATGAGATCATAGTGGACCACCCCTTTAAGTCTAAATTACCCTTTAATCTGAATAAAAGACTAATAAACACTTAAAGGGACTTTGTCTTGCAAAATAACTAGTAAAATGTTCTGCACTGACTGTCAGCATAAAAAAGTAACGTTAGATATTAAAAACGAGTTAGTTAAACTATTATGTTTAAAAATGTGTAGTAAATAAATCATGTGTTCAAGACGGAAATCAGTTGAATATGACTTACATGAGCGTGACTGAAAACTACATTTGATCAATGTGTTACATCTGTTCTACATGTGTCATTAAGTTTGACATGTTTCCCTCTTAACGTTACACACACTTTTGTAAAGACAGTTGCTGTGTAAGAATCCTTGCTTGTAAAATACGCTTTAGAATGCTTAGTTTAGGCAAATTGGATGAACGTGATCACACATGTTGATCTGAAGAGTGTTGCTCTCGCTCACCAAAAACCACTGGTTCCAGGCTAAATGCGCTGTACTGTGTGCGTTGCGTGCATCTGTTCCCTAGCGACAATAACAATTGCTTAATATCGCTTGTCCGTATTCCTCAAAGTTGTTTAGAATTAAATGTTTAGTGATGCTGTGACACAATGCCTATGTGCCTTTTCATGCACCCCTCACGTTCATGCCGCAGCACCGAAATTAAGCACCGAAATTCATATGCTGATTTAATACCAATACATACCAGTTACCAAGGTAGCGGTGCTAAAATGGCACCGGGTTTCGTTAACCAACCCTAATACACACTGATCACGTCTACAGTTTATCTCCAGTGTGAATCCTCTGGTGTGCTTTCAGGGTTCCTGAGTGAGCAAACCTCTTACTGCAGTGTGAACACTTGTACAGTTTCTCTCCAGTGTGAATCCTCTCATGTGTTTTCAGGGTTCCTGAGTGAGCAAACCTCTTACTGCACTGTGAACACTTGTACGGTTTTTCTCCAGTGTGTATCCTCTTGTGCCGTTTCAATTCTGCAGCTGTAATAAAAGTCTTCTCACACTCCAAGCACATATACTCTCTCACACCAGTGTGAATCTTCATGTGTTTTTTAAGGTATGATTGGCTAAAACTCTTCCCACACTGAGGGCATTTGAATGGTTTCTCTCCAGTGTGGATCATGAGGTGTTGATTAAGGTGTGATGAGTGGATGAAACTCTTCCCACACTGAGTGCATGTGAAAGGTTTCTCTCCAGTGTGGATCCTCATGTGTACATTAAGGCATGATGATTGGATGAAACTCTTCCCACACTCAGTGCAAGTGAAAGGTTTTTCTCCGGTGTGGATCTTCATGTGTCTATAAAGCGATGATGATTTACTGAAACTGTTCCCACACTCAGTGCATGTGAATGGTTTCTCTCCAGTGTGGATCCTCATGTGTAGATTAAGGGATGATGATTGGCTGAAACTCTTCCTACACTCAGTGCAAGTGAATGGTTTTTCTCCAGTGTGGATCTTCATGTGTCTATAAAGCGACGATGATTTGCTAAAACTCTTCCCACACTGAGTGCATGTGAATGGTTTCTCTCCAGTGTGGATCATCATGTGTTCATTAAGGTGTGATGAGCAGTTAAAACTCTTCCCACACTGAGTGCATCTGAATGGTTTCTCTCCAGTGTGGATCCTGATGTGTTGATTAAGGTGTGATGAGCAGTTAAAACTCTTCCCACACTGAGTGCAAGTGAATGTTTTTTTACCGGTGTGGATCTTCTTGTGTCTATAAAGTGATGATTTGCTGAAACTCTTCCCATATTGATAGCATGTGAATGGTTTCTCTCCAGTGTGAATCCTCATGTGAGTCTTTAGTTTGCTTTTGCTTGCCAAACTCTTTCCACACTGAGTGCAGGTTAAACAACTCTTGTCTCTCACTTTTAAAATATCATCAGTCACTAAATGAGTTTTGTCCTCAATTTTGACATGATGTTCCTCTTTACTCTCATCGTAGTCTTTAATTAGGTCTGAAATAAAAATAAGTTTACTTTTTAGTAAATCATTAAAACTCTCAGTGAAAAGGCACTTAAAAAATTTCCCATTAGAACAACTTTAATTTATCACACCAACTTCAAGTTCTCTAGCCACACCCAGACCTGATTACTACCACACACGTTCGCAATCAAGAAATCACCTAAATAGGACCTGTCTGACAAAGTGAAGTAGACCAAAAGAGCTTCAAAAGCTAGACATCATGCCAAAATCTAAAGACCTTTAAACACAAATGAGAAAGAAAATACTTATGTCACTAGTTAAAAAAAGAGTGAATGGCTTTTCCTACAGCTGGTGGAGGAGACGAGAGTACGGTTGGAGTTCAGTGTAGTGCATACATTTGTTTTTACTGTAAAATCCTCACCGCGTGCGCAGATTTAGGAGACATTTATGCAGAACGCATCTTTGCACCTAAAAGCGCCAAACGCAGCACCAGGAACAGATTAAAACAGTTGTTATGTAAACTTGAAGTAAAAAAAGCCTGCAATGCTTGCCCCGCCTTTGTGCTCTATTTATTGGCTCACTGCTCTACAACTGAATGCAAATGATTGGTTAATATCAGCTGTCAATCACTCAGTCAATGCCTTCTGCCTTCAGATGATAGGATAGATGCGAAAATGTGAAGCGCTGAAGATGAGAGAATGAAAATAACAGACAGGTTTACCTTAAGTTATTAATAATGGCACATCTTATTAGTAATCATGTGCTGAATGTTAATCCACCATTTACACTTTTCCAAGAGTGGATAAAAGACTTCTAGTGGCTTTAAGTCCGCCGGTAACCGTGTTTGGCACTGAATCTACACATTTAAGCGCGAGAGGTATTGTATAATCCTTCATTTAATCCTCACGATGCTGTCAGCCGTGCAAGCAGCAGCTATATGTAACATTTAACACAGCTCATAAAAAGACTGTTATTGCTATTACGATGACATGCAAATAATAAGTTATATATCAATATAAATGTGGGGCGGGGCGATGGATTGTGATGCAGGCCCAGCATCGTGAAGTTTGTCGGCCATCGGCAATGGCAATTGATTTCTTAAAGGGGTGGTCCACTACGATATTATATTTTAAACTTCAGTTGATGTGTAATGTAGCTGTGTGAACATAAACAGCATCTCTGAATGTAAAATATTCAAAGTTTAATGCAAAGGGAGACCTTGATTTGTACAGAGTTAGCTTAGCAACGCCTACAATTAACGAATTTTGGGGACTACAAAAAATACTTCCGCCCCCTGTGAGATCACAAAAGTTCGTTATTGCGCATCCCACACTGCGCAGGTAAAGGCCGTGGCCAGAGGCGCTGTAACGTTACTGCAGAGAGAGAAATGCCATCCTGCTGTTTCCACAGAGCTGTTCTGTTTCTGTTGTTGGGCTTCCAAATGACACGACCCAAGCACAGAAGTGCTTACAGTTCAATATTAATTATGTTCCAGAGAACTATAAAATACATAGCAAGCATGATTTGACAAAACACAGCTTCCAGAATCTCTCCCAGTTCAGTGCTGGATTCAGTTAAAATCTCCTCAAAGATGGAGCAAGGAGACGCTGTGAACTCTGAGTCATGACCTGTAAGTGTTTTTATTTGTTAAAATTGATCATGACATGTACAGTGTCTAACTTTAACGGTGTGTTGTAGCAAAGATGTAAACAACGGGAAATTATGGTAACCGCTAACGACTTAGCTAACGTTACAAATCTATATTTATCAAACGGCTGTAAACGCACACACACACATACACATACACGCACTCTTGGCCAGCACCTGCGTCTCTCTGTGGGAGACGGCAGAGGTTCTCTCTATAGGCAGCTTTGCAATGCGTTTTACAACTCGGACAATAAAGTCGCAAAAGATATGTGAACGATTCATGTTACTTACACAGGCATATTCCGCATATGCATGAAAGACGTCCTGTAACGCGTTGATTTAAAAAAAATACAGCAATGATTTCCCAACTGGAGTGTAACATCAAAAACAAATCAATCCAGGCTCACAAAGGTCTCATCTCACATCTTGTGCTTTATTCTGTCACCATAGAAAATAACTTAATCCGAGCATGAGAGAAAAAGAACAATAAAAATCTCTCCCGCGCACATGCGCTTCTCGTGTTACAGATACTTCATCGTATACACGCATAAACACACTAAAAGGCACAGAAACAGTTAAAGGAGCCGCATCCCATTTTCACTCGTTACAGACACGTGTTGACTGACTGACTGTTTACACAAAACGCGCGTGCTTGTCAGGGCGTGACGTGGAGCCGATCGGCGAATCACAGCATATTATGATGATGACCAATCAGAGTCACTTGAGGGTGGGCCTTTTAGAGAAACTAGGAAATATGACAGTCGTTTTCATGTTAGCTGAGTAGCTGTGTATAATCAAAGTGAGATTTATGAAAAAATAACACGATTTCCTTCAAGTTAAACATGAGCACACATTGCTTTGCATCTTATTAACACAACCAAGCCTTAAAAATAACATTCTGGACCACCCCTTTAAAAAAATACTTATTCTGCAAGTGGAATGACTCCTTGAGGATCTCCACATAAGATCACGCCAGATTCATTATGAACATGGTGAACGAGCTGGCAGGTTATTGTGTTACCAACTGAAACAATCCTCAGCAGCTGGTGTTATAGCAGCAGTTAGTAAGGATGATGGCAGTATTATTACTGAACAACAGGGTATTAGTGATCAATTTAAAAACTTCTATAAAACTCTTTACAGCTCTAAGGTAAACTTAATTGAACGTATTGAGAGCTTTTTTAATTATTAAGAATTACCATCCCTCTGTGATTTAGATCAGTTGACAAAAGAAGGGATTTTAACACCTTCTAAAATTAAAAATACAAAAAAAAAAAATAAAAATCAGAAAAGCACCAGGCCCTGATGGCGTCCCGGCTGAGTTTTATAAGAAGTTTTGTGCCAAGTTAACACCCCTGTTGTGCAAGGTATTTGCTAAAGCTCTTGTATCGGAATCACTCCCCCCTTCATGACATCGGCTGTTATAACAGTACTTCTTCAAAAGAGTAAGGATCCACTTAAATGTGAACCTTATCATCCGATCAGCTCACTCTGCTGTATAAAATCCTGCCAAAAGTGCTGGCAATCAGAGTGGAGTCAGTCATGAGAAAGATAATTCACCCAGATCAAACTGGTTTTATTGTTGGGAGACAGTTATCTTACACCCTTTGTTGCTTATTTAATATTATTTATTTACCTAAAAATAATACCAGTCCAAAGGACTTAATTTCTTTAGATGACCATAAGGCATTTGAAAGAATTGAGTATATCTATTCATTTACAGTGCTTAAAAATTTGGTTTTGACCCTGGACCAAATGGCTTGTTTCCACTGACTGGTACAGTATGGTACAGTTCGGGTCGGTACGGGTCACCTTTACCAGGCTTGCGTTTCCACTACCAAGGGTACCCTTTTAGTGGGCGTGGTGTATGACAAAGTTTCAGTCGACGTCATTTTCGCTCGAGAAAATGTCTACAGTAAAGCTGCACAGGTCGTTCACATATCATATGAAAAGCACTTCTCACAAAACAGATGCTTTACACACATAAATACTTGTGTATAAATGTTTATTACTAACTTTTCTATGAACATTAGTTGATTTTAACTGCAGATCAATGACGGTGCGAAATAGCCTAATGTAACGTCTGTAATTATATAAAGTAAATAAATAAATGAAGATATATGAACACATACAGACCCTTATAGTCTCTGATATGTTACCAACTACAGAAGAACTACACAAAGCAGACATTTCGTCCTTAATTAAGTTCAAAACAACACAAAGTATAGCCAGGGCCGGAGCAAGCTGAACTGCCGCCCTCAACCCTAATGTGAAAATGAAAGTGACCGGTTATGAAAATGAAGTGAGGTGTCGCAGACCTCTTAATCAGCACACTATGCGCGGATATAACTGAGGACGCGCGGGTGCTGAAGGAGGGAGGGAGGGAGGTGTCGCGGACACTGCGCTCTCTATTCTGCCGCCCTATGCGCGGTTGTAACTGAGGACGTGCGGGTGTAGCAGACCTCAGTTCTGCCGCCCTATGCACGGATATAACTGAGGACACGCGGGTGCTGATGGAGGTGTCGCTGAGACCGCCCTCTCTATTCTGTCGTCTATGGGCGAATATATCTGAGGACGCGGGTGGTGAGGGAGGTGTCGCAGACATAACGGAGGACGCGGGTGGTAAGGGAGGTGTCGCGGATGCCACCCTCTCTATACTGCCGCCCTAGGCGGCCGTCTAGGTCGCCTCTATGGAAGCGCCGGCCCTGAGTATAGCCTCCAGTCAGTGAAAACCTCTCATCTGTGTCTGTAATATTCAGCAGCAAATGTAGCCTCTGTTAGAGAGTCATTCCATCATTCCCAGTTCATATTAGTCTAAAAGGTGATAATAAAGATTAAGACAAGGGATTTTTTCCGCGCCCCACTCCCGCGTTTGTCTTTTTCTTTCTGATTGTGTCACAGAATGTGTCCCGCGTTTGTCAGCTTCTCACAGGACCGGGTTTCCAAAGCTTGTCAATAATCAAGCGCATATATTATTATCAGCTCAAGAAGTTTGTTATTTCAGATAGAGACGCGCGGCGAGCACAAGGAAGAATGCGAAACCACTCAAGCTTCAGACCGGCTCGTAAAAAACTATGCGGCACAGGGTAAATCCGCTCTTCTCTATGG